TATATATATATATATATTATTTGGGGAAAATTTAAATATTAACAAAAAAAGATTTAATTCTAATTAACATGTTATTTATTGGATATTTTCATCTTAATAACATCTTTAATAAAACAAAATAATATAAAATACATTAGATACAAAAAAAAAACAATAAAATAATATATAATAAGTCATGAGATTTATAATTGAGTTATCATTAAGAACAAATGAGTAAATGAAAATAGAAGTTTGCTGGTGTCACATAATAATTTGCCTGCTGCATCTAATTTATTTTTAGTTTACATTACATCACAAAAAAATACAACATTAAATCCTCCATGATCTCCGCATCTTTCGAGCTATAATAAATAGTGTTTTTTTAGTTTTAGTTTGTACATATTCAATATTATCCTATATAGAAAGATTTAAATATTCTAGCCAGGGGCAGGATGCAGAGCATAACGCCGGCTGGATATGGATCGCTTGTGCAACTGAAACGTGTACCGCGATGTTTTTGGGGGGCGAATTGTTGATATAAGAACTGAATTAGCTGTGATTATGATATTGGTTCCCTGCTGATCTATGTTTTTGTTGTAGATATTAATTACTATGATAGACAAAACTACTGCATTGATACATTAATTTAATAGTTGGCCAGTTGATCCATCATCATTATTTTTTCAAAGGGAGATTTACTTATATACCTCTGAATTTCTATTTATTTACATGTCTAACCTCTAAACTTCAATTTATGTGACACATAAGTATATGAAACCTTATCTATATGAAAGTGCGTTTTTTTGTTAAAATGGTCTTGATTTTTATGTGATATGAAATATTAGGATAATATAAGTGAAAAGAAAAGTTAAGGGTTTAGGATGAACTAAAAATTTGAGGTTGAAACGAATTATAATTGAGAATAAGAATTATGTGTAGACATTGTTTACATATGAGATTGAGTCAATAATGTCAAGTAAATTTAGTCAACTTAGTTGTATGCTAATTTAGGTTTTTATGGCAATTTATAGCCAAGTCATGGTGGATTAAGGGAGTTAATTTGAGTCGATTATACTAAATAGAATCATGCAAGCCCATTTTGGTTAATCTTGTTTTGTTTAAGTCAACCATAGACACTTGTTGATGGGTTCAAGTGAGTTTACTTAAATTAGTGTTAGAGTGAGAAAAGTTGGGTTAACTCAAATTAGTTTAGGATCCAAATTAAGTCAAATAGGTTAGGCATAAGCCAAAGGAGATTAGACGTTGTTAGGATTTGCATAAACTAAGCTTGTGCCAAAAAATAGGGCAATAGAAGTACGTTAAGTTCATTTTGAAATATATAAATGTATATATTTTAAAATTTTATTTAATTCTCACAATTTTCTTTGAGATGCTAAAATCTTCACTCAAGATTAGTTTTTTTTAATTCAAATATTCTAGCATGCCACTCATATTAGGAGATATTAATCCCAATGGACAACATATTCAAATTGATCATGTATAGCTGGGTCATAAAGTTCTTTGTGAAAGGGTAAATTATATGGTTGGTAAAATTTTTATAGAATATGTGTAGTATCCCCCAAATCTTAAATTAGTTTCGTAGTAACATTTGATAAATTTAATTAAGATACACATAAATACATATATTGAATGATCTTCAATGATTGGTGAATCAACGAAGTCTAATAAAAGATATGCTATTTAATTATATGAAAGGAACTTATCAAAAACTAAATTTATAAAATTATGAATTATTAATTTATTTGTTTTTCAAATTTGATTTTGGTTGCTCATTGTAAGAAAGCTTTATTATTTAGTGAAAATGCATGAATTATGAGCGGTTTGTAAGCATATTATATTTTACAATAATTTTTGTATGAGCATTTGCAAATTCTTAAATACTAAATACGTGATACTATTTCATAAATTTATACTACAAAGCTTATAAAAGCTTGTGATATAATCATAGGTTTATACTCGAAGTAATTTTTTATTATATAGCTCATTAGTACATCTTCATCAAAAGATAACTCGGCTTAGAGGGCCTTATTGAAGATGACCTGACATAGATATATCCTTCATTATTTTGTTGTCGACTTTGGTGAGATGTTTTCGGATAAAAATTAAGTCGAAAGAAATTATATTGTGAAAAGAGAGGAGGTGATGGAAAGAAATATAAATAGAAGATGTTACATTTAAGGATATGCCTTATTATTATTTTTTTTTTTTTGAAAAGTGAGCCCAAATGACATACCATGTGTTTCAAACTCACAATCTTATAGTGAGAATTAACACCCTCAATCACTATGTCCTGGATCAAGCTCATTTAGCTAAGTTATTTCAAATGCCTTAAAAATGATATCTCCTCCAATGTAATACTCTCAACTATTATTCTTCTAATATATTCATAAAGTGTAATGGATGATTGTTATTGATGATGTATTGAGTGTATTATATGCAATTGCCACTTACAATAAAGTCACATAAAAAGTATGTCTGTATCAAGAATAGACCCTAAGCAGTTAGTAGAGCCAACTACATTAGTTTTGGAGGTCGTGAAAATATCTTAGATGAATTTCGAGTGGTAGGTATGGGTAATGATTTAAAAGCCGATGCACTTCCAGTCAAATATAGATGAAATATCTACTATTAGAATTAAGCTCTGATATCATTGCTTTATTTTTTAGTCGGTAAGATTAGACTTGGATCGGGCTCTTCAAAATTCTTCTTGTTTTTTTCAACAAATATGTTGCACATTAGAGCAAAGTTGTTAAATAATTTGTAAGCAAAAAAAACTACTTTCAACAAATAGAATTATTATTTTAAAATTCAATCCATTCAACTCATCTAATATTCTCGATTCAGTTTACTTTTTTTCGTTCTAATTTAATAATGCACGCCCCTGATGACACAGGAGGATTAGGTACTGAATGAACTTTCACACTCAACAATGGCTTCTTTATTATTTCACATCTTCTCAGATTATGTTAAAAGTAAAAAATCCGCCACCATTTTCACTGATCCAGAGCTCTACCAAAAGATTTTTAAAAATATCATCTTTGATCAACCTTAAGATCTTACAATTTCGAGAAAAATGTATTCATTTACAAAAATATCATGCATCAATCAGCATTCTATAGACATCATCACACCGGAAGGCTACAATCATCCTCATGCTTTCCGGCAGCCGCAGCATTGCCGCCGCCCCCTTCCTCCACGTCTAAAGGCATCTCCACACACACCACCGGCGGCGCCGTGACAGCCAAACGACAAACAGGGCAGCTCAGCCGAGTCCGAAGCCAAGCATCGATACACCGAGCGTGAAACCCATGGCCGCAGCCCGGCAAGATACGAACTTTTTCTCCTTCTTCAATCCCCGAGAGGCAAACCGAGCACTCGGAATAATTAATTTGCGTGAGAGAAAGCTCGTTCTTTGTGTAACATAGAACAGGAATGGAGCTTAGAACCTTCTTCACATCATCTCCGGCAAACTTCACCGGTGAAGTGTCGAGTTCCCCATGGCGATGCTTTTTGAGGAGAAAATGGAAGCCCATTAGCAACACGGCAACGCCGGCTACGATGCCGCCGGCGAGAAGAAGAGGAGGGAGAAGGATGTTAGACTGTGAGGATGGAGTTGGGGAGATAGCAGTAGAGGGATCCATGGCGAGGGGATTAATTGATTGAGTTATAATGTTAATTTGATGGGAGATTATGTAGTTTGGTGGGGATTTATATAGAAAGTAATTTGTTTTATGTGTTTAGTGGAGAAAATGGGAACGGTGGATTTGGTGGGACACTTGTGAGAATGCGAAGGTGCGATGTGGCGTATGCTGTTTGACTGAGCTTCTAGCTTTTTTTGATTTTGCTTGCGAAGTGAGATTTAGATTTCGTCTTATTAAAGCCCCGGATCCTTATATATCTATATATCTAAAGCTTAAAGTTTTGTTTTTTATATTTAAACTCTAAAGTCTTTCAGGTTTTAGATATGTAAATGCATAGAATTTGAGTGGCATGTATGTAAATCTTTCTTATGTTGTGTTTTTTATAAACTTTTAGTGAAGATATTTAGAATAACTTAATTTTTTTCTTGATTAAAAGAGAGTTTACTCACATAATTTAAAATAAAAGAAAACAAAGTGACCACACAAAGAAGTTGACCGAAAAATTGATTTTCAAATGTTTAAAATATATAGAAATTAGATAAAATTTAAAATTCATTGCATTTGGATGTGGCTTTCTGGCAATAATAGGATTATTTTTCTGAAGGCATATCTCAGCTTTTCTCTAAAAGATATCATATTGATTCATCACAGAATGAAGCCATCTGGAGAGGTGGCGACAAATATGGAGTCAGTGGGAAAGTTGATGCGGATGGGAACTAATTTACTATAAATTAGTTAGATAAACTAACAGGAAATGGAAGGCTTAACTACCAATATAAAAGCTCCAGCTAATAAAGCAGTACTTTCGTAAGACTAATGCACTTTAATTAAGCGGTTGGAATTAGTCAGATTGCTTCTGAGAGCTCAATTTTGGCACAAAAAATAGTTTATAAGTCAAATTTGATGTGTTGGCAAGTTAAATTTGAGAGTCCTTTTTTTGGTTAATTTGTATTCATTTATTTTTAATTACTGCTTTGCTCAGGCTATGTCAGTTAGTCAAATTGATGCTCAAATGGAAGAGGTACCTCATGCGTAATTCAAAATTTTCCTATGATAGAACACTTTTGTGGCACTTAAAAATAGAAAATTTTTCTGTCCAGTTTCCGGACATAGCTTCACTTGCGGACTCCACCCTTGTGTGCAATTTCAGACCCACCTAAAAAAAATATTAAAGTGGAATTGCGGAGGTTCTTGGGCTGAAATTGCGGATATTATTTGGAAGGTTATTAGAGTATTAACTCCAATAACACTGCAATAACCCCTCAATAACTTTTGTGGTTCCACTCTAATAACCATTTGAAATAAGCCTTATAATAACCTCCCAATAACCCCCAAATAATCTTCATGGTTCCACTTCAATAACCCCTGACAATAACTCCCTAATAATCTTCGTGGTTCCACTCTAATAACCCCCTGCATTAATCATCGCAATAATCCCCAAATAACCCATCAATAACCCTCTAATGATTTCCGCGGTTTCACTTCAATAACCCCCAATAAGCTTCCTGATGTAGTACATGTGGCGACATATTACTGGAAGTCCGCACTCAAAGCTGCATCTGAACTCCGTATGTAAATTTTTTTCCTTAAGAATTCAGTAGAGATTATGGTTCTTCTCACGCCATGATGTATGTAAATGTGAATTTTCATCTGATTTTCTATAATAAAATTACAATTTAATGCATCGCAATTTGTTAAAAAATTTTACTGGCAATGCCAATATTAATAATTTCTTCGGATTATCTGCATACCTGTTTTTTTTTTTGGAAAGTTATATTAAAATAACAAAAGAAATATTTATTTATAGCAAATTGCTTAAAAACAGCAACAAAAAGAGAAAACCTCTTGAAAAAACCAAGTAAAAGAGAGAAAAAGAGTTTCACCAAAAGAAAATTTTGCACCCAAGCCAAATCAGGACGTGAATTTAGTTCTAAAATTGTTAGTCGCTCGAAAATCAGATCTAAATAAACGAGCCAAGCTATGAGCTAAACTTTAGATCAAATTTCTTTTGAGCCGATTTAGAGCCATACATCGATCGGTTCGAACCGCCTGGAAATCGGCTAGTAGTATGCTTTTTATTCATAAAAAATGTATATATAATGCTAAACAAAATTTAATAAAACGAGTCACGAGCCAATTTTTGGTTCATTCCAAATTGGAACTGATCCAAATAACTCAATTTGAGCGAGTTAGTTTCAATTTTGAGTTGGATTGAGCTGGTTCCAAGCTCAAACAGATCCAAATAAATCAATTTAAGCTAGCTCCTTTTGATTTCAAGCTAGATTGAGCTCGGTTCAATCTCAAGTTGGTTCGGTTTGAAATATAATGAGCCACTAGCCAATTTCAAGCAGCCTTAATGCAAGAAGACTACGGAATAAAGAAAATATGAGTTTTATTTTAGTGCTTTAATGCTTCAAACTTGCTATAGACAACTTTATCAGGCAACTGAAAGAAACATTTAATTTACATACAGACCACCCAATTTCCATGCATTTACCTAACACCTAAATTTTGTTTTTTATATTTATACCACCCAATTCTTTCAAATCACATAACAAACATCACCATTTTAACTTAAAAAAAAAATGAAATACACCTTTTCCTGCTTAGATAAGATGTTACGCATGTTAAAATTAAAGCTTAGTTGTAGATATGCAAATACAGAGATACCAAGTGGTACGCATGTAAATCTTCCGTTCCTTGAAACAAATAAATGATAGATTCGATTATTAGAAATTGATTCATCCAAGGCACATATGCAACGGGCTGTTCTTTAAAACACTTTTATCTTTCAGACAGGCATAGATTAAATGCATATTTCCTTAACAAAAAATTTATTAATTAGGTATTTGTTAAGAATTTGATCAGCTATTAGTGTTTGAGATCCATTTTAAGCACGATATTATATGGGAAATTGATGGGCCGAAGCTATTCGAGGGATTTCCAGGCCTTCACACGTCTTAGCGCATAACCGCCACGCAGAAAAAGCTCTCCTCTATTGGAGCTTTCATGTTCTGAATTCATATAATTTAAATATAGAAGAGTGCAAATCCTTGTCAACCACAAAGAACAATAATAACGTCTATATAAATTTAAGAAAATTAGAATGTGCTCGTGCGGGATCATAATTTTTTGAATAATAATTTCTTGGCAATAACATCACAACTATTTCTTTAAATAGCTACATTTTTCCGGCCCAAATAGACTCCTAAATTAATGATCATCGAGGCAATTCAAAATAAATCATTGAGCCGAACGTTTATGTGGACTCAATTGTCATAGCTTGTAGCTTGCGAAAAAAACTATGAGAGCACTTCATGGAAAAGTGCTCTAGGAGTGAAAGTGGTTTAGTTGAAATTACACAATAATATATAAAGTGTACCGGATATTTTTTTGCTATAAAGCTTGCAACATTGAAAAAAGAATTATTATTTTTCATTAGGTAAGTGTGATTATCTTTTATTTTTTTATGAAATATTTTGTCTACTTGATTTGGTCAATCGATTTCACAAATAAATCAATTATGACCCGAACTCGTTGAGCGGGGTGGTTTGGTCTGACAAACTCAACTATATTACATTAACCAACATGTTTTTCAATGGCCCTATTCATAGGGAATTGAACATGATATGGCACTAAGATTTGTCTTAATTAAGATTGACTTGAATTAGAGGTGTAAATGAGTTTAGATCCTTCAAGTGGACTGGTAAACGAGCTCAAGTTCAAACTCATAAATTAAACGAGCTCAAGTTCAAACTTCATGACTCGGCTTGTGCACAAAAGCAGTCTCGATTAAAATAAGTGTTTTTAATGTGTTTGGTAAACATTTAAGTTGGTTAAGAAAAAATAGGAAACTATTTAAGAAACTCAAAAAGCTACAATGAATGCAAGTTATAAAGGCAAGAAGCAATAAATCTATCCCGAAACATGCTTCCCTTCCTCCCTCGAATGGCCAAGAGTCCAATGGAAACCTTCTCAAACAAGCTCTCACATAAACTATTTCCTTCTCATCTTATTCATCTTATTGGCACTTACCCTAATGAGCTAATCATTTTCTCCGATGACATTTTAGTGAGCTTTCACCCAGAAGAGTCAAGCTCTCGAGCCTAGTAATAAGTGGATGAGGCGAGCTTGAGCTCATCCTATGGGCTCAACTCCAGCTGAAGCTCGAGTTTGAGCTGCTCTTCTGATAGGTGTTTTTTGTGACGTTAGCTTGGCTTGACTCGATTGCACACCTAACTTAAATTAGTCTTCTTAGACAAATATTCACCTTAGCATTATAAGATCCTTTTGGTTGAATCGATCTATCACTGTCGACAAGGATCATTCCGTCAAATTAGTCAAATATCACTTAACTAAGTGAACTATAGTTGATGAAAACCCAGGATGACATAATCATGAGATCTTCATCAGGTTCATCGTCATTTTCCCACCATCCGCATTAAGTTCATAGTAATAAATTTTATATTATAAAATTAAATTGTTGCTACTATATATGATTAATTAGCACTGTAATGACTAATGTTATTGAGAGATGTAATTTCTAGGTAGTGTTTTCTATAATGAGATTTTGCTTATTAAAAATTTCTAACTCTAAAATTTTTGGGTAATGTTATCTATTATTTCATATGCCTTCTAAAAGTTTGACCGAGAACACATACAAAACTCCCTCTAATCTTCATTTTGAGGGATGAGGGCTTGAATTTTTAAAGCACGCAAACATTTATTATCACCATTCATCATGCGCCCTAAGTATAGCTTACAAGATATGCAAATTTTATTTCAACTCCAAACAAAAATGAAAAAGTGCTATCTTCAATTTTTAAATACCAGACGAAATAAATATGGGTATTTTAATACATTGCATTTATTTATATTGTACTCAGACACACAAGAATTTACAAGTACTTGCAACAAACCTTTAATAATCGTACAAGTGGTGTGCATAAAATACTTCGCTTGACATACTGAGTTAACATAAAATAGTTGTTGTAATACACCATTACATTAAAAGAGAGAAGAGCTCTTTCTTCTTCTCCTTATGTCCCTTATGCTAGCGTTAGCAGCAAATAAATAAATAAATGAATACAAAAAATCTTAACTTGATATCACAGTGTCTCTTTTTATCATGCGGATCAAGGCCAAGGACCACGATCTTAAGATGGAGATTTAGAGCAACTTCTAGCGTGCGTTTCAATGACTATGCCAAAAGATGTTTCAAGGTATAAAGACAAAAGCGTACTCGGCGCTATGCTAGATTTAGGCTTCGAACGTGTTCTGCAAATCTCCTTTAAAAGGAGGAGGCGAGCTACGATTTGAAAAAGCAAAAAATTATCATTCTTTCAATACAACTTCCATAACTCACCAAACAATAGTTTTTTCAGAAGTTGACTTTCACTGCAACTGAATATAATTTCACCGCCTTCTCAAACCAAATCTTAAGAGGAAAAAAACTGATCCAATTACCGTTATTCGAACTCTGATTGATTTTTAGTTGTGGCTATTTTGCGGGCCGGATATCTTAGCCGGTCAAAATCAGCTTTGCGAGACTTTTCACAATTTTACAATTACTTTTTTGCCACAGCCATTACATTCTTAGTATTATATACAAGAAAGCAGAGCGACGAAGCTTCACGTAGCATCTCTCTCTTAAGTTCGGTCATTATGTGGGCCTTCTAAGTCATATTAAGAGAGTTTTAACCCTTGGTTTTGATTATTAACTATATTTCTACAAATTCTTAATTTTCCTCTCTTTTTTAAAAACTTTCTTACCACCGATTTGGGCACTAATCACGTGAAGAAAAGTGTCAAATTCATGATAGATACATTTTTTATATTATACATATGATTTTATATTAAAAAAAACATTTTTATTGCATCATGAGCTTATGACTCATTTTGGGATAATGAGGGAAAAATTAATGAATGAATTTGAAAAATGAATCGTCCAATTTATACAACATTTATATAATAATTGTGGCACAGCAAATTTACAAGGAAAACTAATATTCAAGTTTATTATTTTTTTACATGATATAATTATATCCTCTTGTACTTTTGAATAAAGTAATTGTCAATATTGTTTATTCATCGTACACTGGTGAACTGAAAATCCTCTTACATTAACTAACACTTACCATCTTTTAAAAATGATGCAGTTTACATTCACTATTGACCATTTAAATTTCCATTATGTCACATTAGCAACTTTAAAACTATTATAGGTCTCATTTTCTATCAAATAAAATAAAAAACATAAGAACAATAGGGCTTTTCTCTTTCTAATTGACCCAAGTACATTATTGATACTTCTAAATGCATAGAGAATATAGTAAGCATAACCAATGTTGGAATTGGTTGAAAAGAACAATCAAGTTAAAATTTTAGATGACCGACGACGTTCAACGTCATATCCTAAAGTAGGTTGATCCAAATATTAAGGTCGTTGATGATTATCATGAATCAAAGAAATAAATCTAATTCAATGCTATTGGGAGTCAGGGCTCATGTTGGCCACTTTCCTTGACTCAAGAAAGTGCTTTTGGTTAGTTTCATGAGTGGTCATATAATTCAAAAAGGAAGCAAAGTCCGTGTCCTTGTAAAGCCTTTGATTTTCTTTGACAAGTTCAGGTGAAGGGCGAACAATGCTATCAAATGGAAGACTGTGTACTGAAGCAATGGAGTTCCGAGATTTGGACGAGTTTACAAGAACCCGATGAAGCACACTCTTATATCTCCCATTACTGAATATCTGTATATCGAAGCAACATTACTAATTAAATTAAGTAAATGAAAAATTAGAAATTAATAAAATATCGCTTAAATTAATCTTAATGAAAGCAAATATCACAAATTCCATCATGGGCTTCATAAAATCTCATGCCTAGTTCCACCTTTTGGTTGGATTTATGCAACTTAAATCTCCATTCATTTTTTTTACTTCCATTTTAACGCATAAAATCATGTACTAAGTTCGGGTTACCTTTACCTTTCTTTTTCATAATTATATTAATTTTATTCTCTTCTAATCAATACATCTTTTATAATTTTTAATGTGCTTAAATCAATTAATTTTATTTTCATATTTTTCATCTAAATATGTTGCTATCACTTCTAATAATATTACATATTTATCATAACATTATTAGTTCTTTTAAAAATTGAATTATTTTTTATTTTTCATTAGATAACAATCAAAATCGTATAACAAACATTGATGCATAATAAATTTGCTTAAATCTCCATGTTAGTTGATGCTTTAATGTAAAAGGACATTATCTTAAAAGATTTCTCAATATGTATAACATTTTACCCATTAAACCAATCCTATAATATATATACTATTGCAACCTCCTTTTCATTATTACTAGAGTGAGTTATAGCAAGAAGTCTAATATGATCATGATATTTGTTAAAAATTCTAAAAAGTTGGACATTGTTCTACAAATGCACATATACATACAAATATAAATTAGGAATATATATTAAGTTTTAGAAAAAGCTTGACATACAAATTAGATCAATTAGTGTTTTTTTTAACTTATAAAATTATGTTTAACTATAGTTTTTTTTGAAACAAAATTAAATCATTACGAGTTTGAATCAATCTTACTGAACATAATTTGCCACACTAAAGCTCCTATATTTATTTTATAATAACCACAGTTTTGTAAGCACATGATTTAGGAAAAAAATAAGGATGCATGATAATTTTCTCTAAAAATAAAAAAAGTAAATAAAAAAGATATTTCTTTTCACTTTGTAAAATATGTACCTCGAGATGATCACCGACATTGACAAAAAGAGAATTAGCAACTGGATCGACTGTAATCCAATCATCACCACATTGAACTTGAAGTCCCTTCACCTTATCTTGAAGCAGTATTGTGAGAAAACCATAGTCAGAATGTGGCGGCATTCCAAGCGTGAGATCAGGCTCGGGGCATGGAGGAAAGCAATTGATTACCATCATATGAGTCCCTTCTTTTAATTCTTTGAGAACCGAAAGCCCAATCCCTAAAGTTTCAAGAATGGCCTCCATAAGTACTAAAAACAAGGCTTTGCTTTGTTTGGCGTATGACATGGCCTCTTCTCTACATGATGTTACATAAAAGTGTGTTAACATAATTCAAAAAAAAAAATTATGTTAGTTAGTATCAAGGCCAAGGTTATTGACTAACATGAACATTTTTTCATTTTGTTAATTATGCTACTAGTCATATGTTTCATTGACATACTTGCGTTGTGCCTAGCAAGCAAGATTTAGAAGTTAATTATTAATTAAACTTTGAAATAGTTTGCTATCGTTTCAAATTTTTGCGGTTTTCGTAGCAAAATATTGGTGCTTATTTTTATGGGTGCCAATAGTCTATAGCTCGAAGATAAGATGTTAATTGGCAGATGTCTGAAAGCTGATTAAAATGTAGGTGTTTTACATATGGAGGTCCCCAAATTATATTTATTACAAATAAAAGCCCCAAGTCATTTAATTTACGACTCAAGGATTCCTTTACAACTCACTGATGATGAAGGCTGTTCCTCTTCTTTTGCTTTGAATCCAACTTCCGATAATGAAGCTCCACCAACGGTCGGATCGGCACCACAAATTTGACACTTGTTCAGCAGTTCGACGATCAAAATTCGTCAACAGGAGGGGCAGGACAAATGAGATCCAAAGCACGTATCGACGCAATTGACATGAAAACCATGACCACAATCTGGCTGAATTTGGATCCCTTCTCTCTGTACAAACTCCGCCAAGCAGACCAAACACTATGCCAGCTGCTTGCTGGCGGTCGCCGCCACGACGTCAAATGATATCTTTGAAAGAGATCACAGAGCCTTCTTCTTGAGTCATTTGGTTGGTGTTAGAGGAGGCTGTGGAGCTCTTCTGGAAGAAGAAAGGAAACGGTGGAGCCAGGCACAGCGACGGCGAGGCTAGGGTGTTGTGGCCAGGTTTTCCGAGAAGAGGGAGAAATGATAGTTGACACGGCTCAAGAAGAGGAGAGGGTGAGAGCAGGGCGAGTGCGTAGAGTTAGGAAGAGGGATGAACCGAGGAGCTTGATGTTGAGCAGGCTAGAGGAGGTGAGGGACTGCTACATGATTTCGGTTTGGGATTTCATGTGCTGGGGACGGTGAGGGTATTTGTGTTGACATGCAACGAGGACGGAGATTTGAGCAAAAAGAGCAGTTAACCCTCGTGCTGGTAACCACACAGCCGCCACCATGGATGTTAACCCTCACTCCTCCCTCGATGGCTATGCTGACCTAGTGGAACTGCGTCACCAAAGAGGGGTAAAAAAAAACCTTGAGGCGTAAATTAAATATTTTGGGACCTTTATATGTAATAAATATAATTTGGAGACCTCCAAATTTAAAACCCCTATTTTCAAATAGTTCTCAGTTTGAGTCAAATTGACTTATGTATTTAAACTTGATCTAGGCTAATAGTCAAGTTCATATTGAACTCCCAAGGGTCAACATCTTTTATCGGAATTTTCTCGTTTAATTACAAAATGAAAAGATCTTTCTTTTTTAAATAGGCTTTTAATTAAAAATTAATTGATAACTGTTGAGAAAATTGGGGTGAAGAAAAACAGTAATCGACACAAATCCAGAAGAACACAGAAATTTAACGAGGAGATGCCTGCGTCCTCGAGAGCAGAGCGGCGAGTTCCTTTCACTATTCAGAAAAGAGGTTACAAAATAGAAAATACCTCTTGGGGTTACTAACGACATATTTATAACCCCAGGAGTAAACCCTAGGAGCAATATGTAATTACAGCACTACCCCTATACCATACCGCAGGGCTTTGCCCCCGCACCCCAACCCACGTAACTTCCTAATTTGGACAGATTCTTCCGCTCAGCTCCGCTCCGCATCAATCCAATGTCTGTCCCTATATGGTGTATGAGTCATACCATAACAATAACAGATGAGATATAATTCTAAAATGTGGTATATTTAGTACATTCTATCAACATCCCCATTTATGCTTCCATCCCAGCATAATCTTCTTCTTCCTTTTTCAATCCATACTTCCATCCAATCATGCACTCATAGCCGCAGAAGACACCACCACCAACTCCCAATCCAATAATAATAAACATCCCAACTTAAAAAACTACACGTATTTATCCAGGCATAATATTAATTCTCACTACCCAGCTTACAACAAAGAGTCACGCTACTTGGAATTTCCAAGTTCTCAAAATCTTACATGCCAACAAATTAGAAGGATATTGAGGTGGATCCATACTTTGCCCACAAAAACAATATCCATGGAAAAGTAATTTTACGCTCAGCCTATACTACTTGGCTCTACTCCACCAACTTTGCCCTACATATTCATCCTAATGCCCTAACCCTAAATTCTTGCTCTATAAACAATCAATCATGTCGTCCAATAGATCCACCTTCATTCAATTTCAAAATGAACGACCAAATTACCATTCAAATGTAAAAGACGACGCAATAATTCATAAATAATACAATGCTGTAGTTAGAATACTGCAACAGATTATTGGAAAATTTAAAATGCAAACTAGTTCTTATGAATTAGGATTTAAGCTTAAAACTGATCAACATGATATTTGTCTCAGAATCTGCTACAAACCTACCATATTAAACATAACAAATCAATTTGCATAAAATTTCAAGAAAACGTATCAGTTTTATATATGTGTGTGCACGCGCGCCACCGTTACTCTTTGACTGACAGAGTTTTTAAGACCCTTGAGTCAGGAGTTCCATCTTGTCTATGTGCGGAATGAAATTCTTAAGCACAATATATATATATATATATATATGTAAGCTATATATTTAATTATTTATTTATTATTTTTACCGTTGTAAGTATCGTTTGAAAGCTATTGGTTCAACAAAACCTCCAGTCGAGATTCTAGATATCAAAAGAGCTAAAGCGCTTAGTCCCATCGGCCCACCGGTCTCATTAATCCCTGCAGCTACTATTCAGCACCGGCATCTCTGGGCCTCCACATACTTGTTTTTTCCAATTATAAATGTTCTAAATCTTTTTTCCCAATTGTAAATAGTCATACGGTACGTGGACCACAAATTATACGGTCTGATTCTCTGCTATATCGTACATACTACCGAAATTATTTTGAAAGTTTTGAATATCATCTTAGCCAAAAATTAATACTTTAATCCTAAAAACTTCTCCCAGAATAGTTCCCGGCATCCAATAATCCAGGAAAATTTTAAATTTCTTCATATAAAATACAAATATTTTTACTAAGAATCTTCAGCATCACTTTCATTCTAAATAAACTATATATAAAAAAACCAAAAATTGCGCAATCTTAAAAGAAGCATATATACCTCAACTGCGGAGGAGAGGAAGGCCAAAACGGCAGAAAAGTGAGCAGAGGATGGCAGCTGAGTTTCAGAAAATCCCTCCAGAAGAACACACCATCCTGCAACTGGTTAAAACTGGTTCCATATCTTACAGGCGCTCTTATGTCGTTCGACATATATTTCTCCCTTTCCTCGCAGCTTAACTCGAAGAATCTCCTCGCCGACGAAAGTAAACTCAGCAGAGATTCACTGGGAATCCCGTGGTTCACAATCTTCTCCAAATCAAACCAGATATAAAATCAATAAATCTGTATATTATGCAACACTTACTAAACCCTACACAGAATTTAAGCAGAATCTTGCCAGAGACTTTTTGGACAAAATAAATCCCTTTTACGGGGCTTCGGGAAACAATTCTATTAAATTTTGCAGGAATTAGTGAATTCGTTGCCACACAGATTTTTGAATTTAAGCCATTCAGGATTTAGTAAATTAGAAATTACGGGATTTAGCAAATCCCAATGCCTTAAATCTCATCTGTTGTGAGACAGAGCATAAATAATGCCTACCTGGAAGAATCCATACTCCTGGCATGCTCTAGACAAAGAACGGAGGGCATGCGGCCGACCATTGCTATCCTGTAACTGAGAGAAGTCTATGGTGGGCAACTTGAATCTCGCACTCGGGCTCTTCGATTGAAGCCAGGGCGTTCAGGGACCGGTAGGATGTACTTGCGGGGTAACTTTTTGGTGCCGCTCTCACAGAGGTTTCGCACGCCTTTTAGGTATGTGCTCTCCTCTTCGTCCTTCTTCTCCATCACCATCTTATTGTAAGAGAGAAAGATAGAGAAGCAGGAGGAAGAGAAGAAAAATGGTGGCTGGAGAGAGAGGAATAGAGGGGGGGATAAATGTAATATATGGTTTTTGAGAAATAGAGAAAGGGGAAGGATAAGGATGGAGGATGGGATGAGGCCATTTGGTTGGTATTTGTAGCTGGGGATTTGGAGAGAGAACGAGCAGTGGAGAGAGATTGAGAGGTATGCGGGCTTCAGAGTTAGTGGAATCCGGCGGACCATTTCCGGGGGTGCTGTGAGTAAACGCGTTGACCAAGTGAAGATTGGTTGGGCCCGCAACAGCCTAGATCTAATCCGTACAATCGGTATAAAAAGACTCGCGAGGAAAAAATGGGGAAAAAACTGGATCTTTGAGATATCCGATGAAATTTCGATCATAATAATTTTTAAAATTATTAAATGTATTTAAAATAAAATTCAATTTATTTTTTATATATTACATTTTTTTTTTCGAAATAAATTGTATAGTTGTGAGGCTTTTTTCAATCAAAATCAGCCAGATATTTATGATTTTTTTTTTAAAATACTAGTGGTCTGTTATAGAGAATTAAACTTATAGCTCTGATCATTTATCATGTGTTTAAGAATTCAAGTATCATGACTTACACTCGGGAGAATATATATATCTGTGTGTCTGTGTGAACAGGTTGGTTTTTTGATAGAGAATATATGAGACCACTGAGTCTCAGGTTTGAGGTTCACTTTGGACAACACGCAGATAAATGACGCGCTTTGCGATCCATCTTTCTTAACACAGACACACACACAAATATATATACATAAAGATTTCATCTGCACTTATACATTAATAGAGAGAAATAAGAAGTTGATGTCCAATGTAGACAAAACGTGAAAGTAATTGTTTGGTGGTTTTACATACATACATACATACATACATAAATATATAGATATATATGTATATATGTATATGTATATATATATATATATATGTATGTATGTATACATACATATACATGTATGTATGTATATATACATATACACATATATATATATATATATATATGTATGTATGTATATAATATATATATCTATAATATATATATATAATTTTACGGGCATTTACATTCATAACACTCAATTCCTAACACTTAAAAATCACTTTTTATATTTATACCACTCAAATCTTTCCTATCACATAAAAAAAAAATTATCTCTACTTTATCTAAAAAAATAAAGAAAATTGGCTTGTGATTGCATGAATGTGGGAGGATGTGATTGCATGAATGTGGCTTGTGATTGCAAGAATACTTTATCTCACACGCACACACACGCGCGCGCGCACACACACACACGCACACACACACACACGCACACTCACACGCGCACACACACACACGCACACACACACACACACGCACCCTCACACACGCA